GCTTTCTTGTTCATGGGATACGGAAAGATTTGGATGAATAGAATTAAATTGTCTCAAAAGGGATTCGAAATGTTCACGCTCCGTAAGTATAAAAATATTGTCCACATAACGTTTGTACAAGTTAGAGTGGGAGATATTATTGGCAAGATTTTGTCCAATCATTCCTAAAAATACATCGGCTAGAATTGGGCCTAACGGACTGCCCATGGCAACGCCATCAATCTGTTTGTACGTGTCTCCTTCAAATTCAAAACGAATGTTTTGGGTACATAAAAATATTAGTTCTCTCCTGAAAATTGTATCTTTTTGCATATTAAATAAAAGAAAGTAAAATAAAGATAAAGAAGTAGATAAAGAACTCTTAGTGGCAACCCGTTCAAACTAGTGGTCTCACATTGCCGATTTGAAGGCCGGCGTCAGTCATTTGCAGTCAGTGTGTGTTTCATCTGGAACTCTCTCCCACCCCACGTCAACAGTGCACCAAGCACTGAATCTTTCAAGCTAAGACTCGATGAACCATTAGCACACCTTACATTCCCCCATAAGTGAGGCTGCTTGCAACAGAGGAAGAAGCACGTATCATGTGACATTTTACACAAGGAACTGTATGTATCACTGTCGTTCAACCATAACACAAACTTATGGGACAAGATAAGCACGGACTTGCATGTTATTCCCATGATAAAACTTTCAGTTTGTATAAAGATTGAAAGGGTAGAATTTTCAATTAAACATGATAACGAAATGTTCCTTGGTAACCGTCATTCCAGCAAGGAGGCAAACCAAGTTGCACCAACCGAGGAGAAAGCTCAGCAAAACCAGAAATATGCATGCGTACATGAAAAATGCATAGAGTACACAGTGGCTGTAAACAAGGGACAGAACTTTCTTGTCTGGGTGGTCTTGGTGAAAAGATTCTCGTTTTCGATCCGAACGAAGCACACAGACATAGGAGAAGTGCTATTACCTTCAAGTCCAAACTCTAGGTAACTGAAGCACCCGGAGTGGCGATGATGTACGTACGACGTATACAAAGATCAAACTAATTTCAATTACTACCTTGCTAAATTACTTTAGTCTAGAAAACGGGTTCCTGGGGTGACAAAATGCCACCAACCTCCTTCTGGGTGTTGCCATCACAAATCACTCAATAGCTCGACAAGCAAGTTGGTCTCGCCTCTGAAGTTTGATTGGATAATATTAAAACATATTCGAAGCGCACAGTGAATGAACGACGATCACGAAGGTAATTTACGTATCAAGGTGCAAGATCCGCAGTTTTTTTCAAACGGCTCAAGGCCATCGGAATCTATATGAGGAAAACATGAGTCGAACAGATCTGGACACCAGTATTTGCAAGATTTCAGGTCAAATTGAGGTGAATCGTAAAACTTTGACCAACATACAACTATATAAATCTACGAATGTATACGCACCAAGAACAAAATCTCTGACCAGAGCAATATACTATTTTCATGTGCTGTTTCAGATTAGGAAGCAAGTGCGTCGAAGATATAGCGATCATTAAACTAAAGTGTTTGTGCGGTGCGTACAATCTTCACTAAACTTATAAATCAAGAAAATGAAATGAGTACCATAAATGAGAAGCCGCCATGTTGGTGATTAAGGTGCACGGGTTAGAATTCAGTTCAACTGGATACCTGAATGGAACGGTGTGTGATTCTGCAACCAGAAACGTTCAGTATTGCGGATCATGACGCAGTCCTAAACCAATGATAGAACTTCCATAGAAGAAGGGTAATTTTCTGGTGTCGAGATCACGATGGAAGCTGTACGACGATCAGGGTGATATTTTTGCGGATAGAAAGTTTTAACTTACTATTTTCGGTGGAAATCGCTCTTATTTCTTATTATTTTTAATTTTTACTTCCTTTTATTGAATATTCATGGATACAATTTTCAGGAAGGGGGGAGGCGGCCAATCAATGTGCTGTCATACACCACAAACAATGGGGAAAGTCAGGCGGTGGTGGTGGGATTCGAACACACGTCCTACATGGTGATAATTTGTCAAAGTTACCACCGGACCACCGTCGGCTGTCAAAATAGCAATCGATTTTTTCTGCCTACAATTTTCGAAAACTTATTGGGAACCTCCATACGTCGTCACAAGCACTGAGAGTGTCACCTCGTCTGGTGATGGAACGTTTGCAAACAAACTAGCAAGCTCAGGGAAAAAGCGAACCAGAACTCAGTTCACCCAAGCTACAAGAACCGATTTTGAACACTTGTCAACAATAAAATTATGTCCGACCATTTGGTTTCAGCAGGGAGTGAGAGAGATCGGACTACTGCATAACCACTTGAGTGTTGTCATCCACTTTCACGAGGTAATATCAGCAGTATTTTGCACCAATAGGGCACATTCTCTAGGACCAATCAGTTTATTGAGGCTTTAATTTAAATCAGCTTCACTTTTTTTACACTGCATTGAGTTGCATAACCATCATCATTATTATCATCGACGAAAATTTAATCAATCTGGGTAGTTTTCTTACCCCAAAGTTGCAAAAACATAGGCTGTGGTTAACGGCAATTAGTGAGCTGTATTTTGTTTGCTATTCAAACATGAAATACACATATCCAATACCGAGTTCGCCTCTCCGCTTCAAAAGGAGACAAATGTGACCAGATTGGGGTATTTTATTTCCCTTCTCAGTCGTTGAAGGGAAACCTGTGAGGTTTTTATACTTCAAGAAGAGCAAACACAGCAGTGGAAATCGGGGTAGTCGTACGGTTATGTTTGACCCAGCAAATGAGAAAACACACGGAAAACTGGTTGATTAACTGGATGACTTAACGCCATTTACCAACCGAATCAATGGCGAAAAATCCTAACACAAAAGATCGTCAAATTGACTTAGCCCAAACGTTCCGCGTGATCACAATCCACGGATCAGTCGTGCGTAGTTAAAACATCTGGCACAATCTCACACTGGTTTGATGCTAATGCAAAATTCTCGGACTGAAGTTTTGATCTACAATTATTGGTGCAAAGCTTTCCACCGTTGCAATTGTTCCGCACGCGTTTTTCGTCACATAATACGGGAATTTAATAAAATGCTTGTTCCTCTTGTCCCTTACGCATTACTCATATGAAACATAAATCGGAATGGTGGATATTGGGTTGCAAACGCACCCGACAATACAGGTTAATATTAACTGAGACCAAAGCACACCAAAAAGAAAATGACAGTATCTCTGATTCGGGGTGAGATCAAAAGGTCATTCAATCGTGCAAACCATCGGTGAAATACAATGCAATTAGATTGCTTTTCAGTTGTCTAAATTTTATGTCTAGTTCTGTGAAGCGTTTGGAAACCGCAGTTCACCTCCCTACTGTTTCATAAGTTTAAGATGCCCCCATGGGAAAGACACTACTGCCTGAGACTACGGTAATTATCAACATGCGACAGATGTGGTCAGGCGCAGATGGGCAGACAGTGAAATGAGGTGGTGCGGAAGTATCTCGCCGCGTTCCCTGCCCCCCTAATGCTATTGTATGGGGGCACTTTTTTAAGCTGACCAACTGTTCGCTCCATCCTGGTTTTAATTTTCTTCCCTATCTCAAACGTCTGCGTACCATTTCAACCTAAAGCGCCAAAGGCAAAGAGTACAGGGTGTGTGTATTGGGGGAGGGGGGTATGCTTTTCTAAATGAGAGTAATTTGTAAAATAATTTACGAGTTGTTTTTTGTGTGTGCAAAAGAACAGGGAACTTCTATTCCGTTCTAATTTGGCTACTGCCTTTATCTACATTTGAGCAAATAATTTGCTTTACAGGACAAATTGAAATACCGAAGCACAAAGGATACCGATGAACGGAGAATGGGTTGCTACAGTTAGTAGAATGGTATTCTAGTGGCGAGTACATTATCTTAAGAGACCAGCTGAAACGACCATTCAGATAGGAAATTGAAAGATTTAACCAGATTTCCAAAGAAGGATAGGTAACTTGTCCATTCACTGTCTCGGATAGAGCTCCAGCGGAAACGTGCTTTTGAAACAGCGGGCAGTTTGTGCCAGAGTTTATCAGTTGGAGTCAATGATATCATATTAGGATGGGTATCATGCAACGGATTTGAGTGGAACTACTCACCTCACTCTGTGCAGTCCGGATCACCAGGAGACACGGTTGGTTGGATGAGAACGGTGTCGTGCCGGAAGGACTGATGGCCAAGCTTGGGGAAGTGGACGCAAGACTCACATGCTCGGTTGTTTCGTCCGCGTAAAGGGTGGCACATCGATGATAAAGGGTGCGCAAACTGAACCCGTGCAGCGCACTGCTGTAGGTTAAGTGCCAGTCCAAACCCTCAGCTTCCGGGGGCAAATTACGCATGAGCTGTACGATTAAAGAAGTAACAGGAACACAACGAAAATAATCGCATTTCAGTGGGAGCATCGTAATTCTGAAGGTCAACAATTTTTGATTTGTCACTTTGCCATCAATTGCCTTGAGCACAACGTTAAGTGTGAAAATCCGGGGGAATATTTACAATTTTTCTTCCTTTTTGAAATCATGTCACAAACCGTCATAAATGATTAATTCTTACTCCTAGATTCATGTGCCTCAAATAATAAATCCGTTTCAGGTGGTCTCTGAAATACTTAGCCACAGATGTGCTCTCTGGATCATTTTCCCCTGTACAAGGCTTCGGCATTTCAATGGCTCGATCAAGAGAAAATTAGGAACTCTTTTGTTAGACAGCACGGCATGTTGAACAGGAGAACTGAACTTAATGTACAATCGTGACAATCGGTACAATAAGCCCTGAAACGACGCACATGAGATCCCACCAGATTAGACACGATGTATGGCCGAATGACAGAAAAAATACTAGTCATCAAAGTTGGCTGGCGATTAGCCTCATCCTCCTCCTCGTGATACTAGAGTGAAGCAAACTTCGCTGATCTCTGCCAAGCCCACAGTGAACACACAAAGTAGATGAAACTATATAAGGTGGACATGGATGGGATCTAATTGGAGGGAGGCAAAGAAAGTCAGAGTCTACAGTGAACACATGGAGTGCAAAACCTAATTGTGCATACATACTTGTTCAAACTTTCTGATCTGATAAGAACATCACTGCCGTCGGTTTGTTGCTATATTCTTCAGTGACTCCAACAACCTAGTAGCGTAGTCTCTCTCTCTCTATCTAAACTGATGCGCAACAAACTCCAACAGCAACGTATACGTAGGAAGTAATCCATATGATGGAAGAGGTGAATACGTTTCCCAGCTACTTTCCTAATTAGCATTTTCACATAAACAAAAAAAGAATCGAGAAAATCAGTGTGCGGTCCACCAGTGTGAACGAACTAACCAATCGGCATCGACTGAATGAGAGCGATCAGTTGTGCAAGCAACGAACTCACGGTTGGGTGATCCGACCAAATCAATGAAGAAACATGCAAGACCAAATTGCATTCATCGCGACCTAAGCTCAGCAATCCGTGTTATCGAATCATTGAATAGCACATCGGCACTAGTATCAATAAGCACTCGTGTGAACTCGCAAGAGGACATCAAAGGTAATGAGGCTGTTTCGACCAAAAAGTGTTGTGTTCAGCGATTTTGAAGCTGCTATTCACTCCATCACTGTGCCGGTCATTACGCTTTTGGCCTTCATGCGTATTTGATGCTTACTGGATATGTATCGGTTTATTTGACCTCAGAACTAACTGTGTCCGTTTCTTCTAACTTTCTGACTATATATTCATCATACTATTCGACCTTAATCACAGATCTGAATATACCTGGCCACCGATGTATGCGCTTGGTCTCGTTCACCCTTATATAGTGCATTTTTTATTTAACAGTGAGATTGTTGAACTGATAATTCATGTGCTCATATTTCTGTCTTTTCGGTTTGTTCACAAACTATGAAACGTCCGTGAAGTAGAGAATACAGGTGCATCAGGAATTCTCGTATGCAAACTCGTCATATTCTCAAACGTTCCTGGGCGTATTCTAAATCTGACCGCTGCAGACAACCAGTATTTAAAAGCTACTGATTCCTGGCGTACATTTATTTATAGGTGAAACCACGTTTGAGAGTAGTACTGATTTGCCGTGGTAGTCGCGTCAATCGGGTTGTCCCCAGAACATCTCACTACTATGTACGTTACAGTCAACGCATAAATACACAAGCTCGTGCAGAAATCGGAGGGAAACGGGAGGCGTAGGCGTGTGCACAGCAGAGCCGGATTTAGCCTACCATTTAGTCTCACGAGAATGAATAGAAACGATGAATTTCACAAACGTACACCTTATAATACTCCGCTTAATTGCGAGTTAAGGTAGCCAGTTCCAACGAATCAGCATGAGTTGCTCTAAATTATCATCCATGTGCGTATTCCGGTTCCTCCACATAGGTTAACACTTCCCAAAGTTTCTTAGCGGTTAGGTTGCTTTTGACAATTATTAACCACAATAAAAATGAATAGTAATAATAATGCCTAGAATGTTTGCATCACATTGAGCAGGATTGGGCGTAAATCAAAACGTAGTGGAGTAGTGGGTAATAACTGACACATACTTACATCTCGAACTTTACCCGGATCCAAAATCGCACTCTGTTCGGTCGAACGAGGTAGGGGAAGACTTTCCGGGGTGACCGATTGGAGACAATGCTCGATGAACTCACGTCGTTTCGCATTTCGTTGTTCGCTTTCCAGTTCCGAGGCATTCACGAGCTACAAAAAAGGCAAACCAAACAATACGTTTAATTGTGTACACGTAATCCGATCGGGCCAGAATGCGTTTATTGCGGCACTGAAGCGACAGCAAACAATTCACATTACAAAGGAGTGTTAGGCTAATGCAATTTTAACCCCGTCCGCGATGGGATAAGAAAGGTAGGCACCTGAAGAAAACATTTTAGGGACTAAAATATTTCCACTCTCCTGACCGGAAAGCAATCTTCTGAAAGCAAAGCATCATGTAAGAGAAGTTGGTGATGTATATAGTTGGAAGTAGAGTCCAGATAATTTGCATTACATCGCGGAAATATTGTTAATTTCTATGTTAGTCTTATGGTCGATAGCGATGAGATCGCGCCTCCACGAAGCGAGATTGTTTGTGAGCCTCCGGATTCTGGCAAACGAGGCACGACAAGAAAGGTCAATGGGTGCCGTTCACAATAAATTCAGTTTATCAAGATTTTCCTAATGGACAACCACTAGCTCTTAGATTTACCATCCACATGTGTCTGTGTACTGGTTACTCCGGTAAAGCAATTTCGTAATACGATACCTCTCGCGATGGAGCCTAATAAATCGATACAGAAGCGGTTTTCTTGATGATCAAATGAATAACTGTATTTCATGATACAGAATAGTCTTATTTAGGCGGCATAAGAGGAAGAATATTATAAAGCCGGGTAGAAAGTACTTGCTAATTGTAGTCGTAGAATTCGGCGAGTGACTTCTCACTGACTTTTTTAAAAGCCGGAGATGGTTTAGAGGAACCTGAAGGTGGCCACACTGTGGCCTGGTATAAACGTCGGGAAACTTGGACAAGTGAACCTGATGACATTAGGCTACCCAGTTAGAGCGCACTGTATTTCACCCTAGAGACATCTGAAAACGACAGATCATGAGAATACATTTCATAAAAGGACGCTCAGTGGCATAAATTCCAATCCACATATTAAAGAAGTATAAAGTACTCCACTGATGATCACAATCTTGGCTCTATCAGGGCTATTCGAAGACTGGTGTTACTTCTAGACGCCACCACTTTTCCTTGGGTGATTGAAACCATACAAATGTGTAAACTACAATCAGTCGACCCGCATAAGACAGGAGGAACATATGGATTACGACCTACTGTTTTAAAACAATGCACGAACACCCTGCCACCGATATTGTTTAACATCTTCAATAACTATCTTTACTAAAGCTTGGATTCTGATTGCTAGAAAATGGCCGGTAAAATACCAACGATTACAAATGTCTTCCTATAGCCTGTGCTAAGACCACCCTTGAGGCAATTCAGAGGACACTTTTAAGGAAGTTGTCCTGTAACTGAATGACTCCACTCAAAATAAATATAGTCCTAAAGCTCATGCTTCCTTAGTATGTACTTTAGTCCATCGGTGCTTGATAATAAGTGGGAACCTACAAGAATCTGCTTTTTAGACTGCAGCGATAGTTTGGGAATTGTTGATAGAGATCAGCTTTCCTTTATTCTTGCACAATATGACAGGTCTCCGCCTATCATTGCCTTTCTAAATGACTACTTTTCTTATCTGAAAAAGGTTTCCCGGACAGCCTCAACTTCCGAATTCAAGGTTTTTCAGGTAACCTTAATTAGTTTCCACATACACAGCACCCATCCCTGTTTGTGGCGAATGCATTCTGATCACGTGTCCTGATGGTATTCCCTTTGACTTGCTCCATCATAATCACTCTTCCTGCTTGCTTTGGAACTCGACTTCACACAAATTAAGGAGTCGTAGGAGTGATTCACACTTTGACTCACTAACAAAATGCCCTTTGGTTGGGGGAACAATAGTTAGGTAATGTTCATCATCATTAGTCGTTCGTTTACTTGGTCTGGAAACAAGACAACAGTCAGGAGTGATGTCCGACTAAAGCTCCCACCCATTTCCTTACAATTAGCAAAAGGTTTGCCCAAACCTGTCGCTGGCACCTGCATCTCACCACCACCTGCACCAAAACTGGGTGGTAGAAAGCTTTTCTGTCTTCCAGGGCTTTGTGCGGTTGACCACTCCAAGTCTCGGGGTCAAGGTTGACGGTTTCCGTCACTGAACAGCAAGAATCCACGACCATGGGATATGCCCGGTCCACTGTGCATCATGCAAATGTGTGTACTAAAAGGATTGGCTTATGGCATATGCAAAGAGTTGTTCTACCGTTCCTAGACAACCATACCTGATCCGTCACTAAAACAACACCATCGTCTGACCTCGTTGCAAACTGTATTAGTTCGCGTTTGTTGGATCAGCAACAAAATGTGTGGTTCAATCACTGTGATCGATTTTTCAAAATGACTCACATAAAATAATTTTGTCAACAATTAAAGTTAACATCTATTGAACTCGCTCTACTGTCTACCTACTAATCTCTCACTGTTTACCAGAACCTCCCACTTATAGATTTATTTCGTAATTACGAGGTCATGTATGCTACGGCATATTATTCCCGCCCCGGGAACTTCGCGGTTCTAACACAAAGGGCACAGTAATCGGGACGATGAACAATCGTCATATGGGGCCCAAAAACGGAGGAGATATGAGCAATTGGCTTGTGGAAAAAGAATGCACCCACTTTACGTTTGAGATACGTAAAACCTGTACCATTCTGGGCTAGGAGTGCCCTTCTGATGATTGTTTGCAAGAGAACGAAAAAAGCGGACCAGGAAAGCAATACGGTCATTGGTGCAATCAATGCACATAACAATGGTGACAGGCTTCTCTTAACGAGATTTCCCTAATCCTATTCTCAAAGGGATCAAAAGAAAACACTGTGATGCCGTTGTAACCTGATTTAGTGGCAGCCGTACTGTGCCATATCGTTGATTCCCATCAAGACGCATCATGAGGAGGATGCGAGAGCAGCAAAATTTATCTGCTTAGATTGGATTTAACCGAGTTGCTATCCATGCCCCAAGTGTATTAGTTTTCATACAGGCTGTTGTCTGGTTCTGTCCACATTTTCGAACATGTACTACGGAAGTCGTTCTTGTAGGTTCGATTTATCTCATATTCAAATCCAGCATATAATTGATTCCTTCTCCGCTTGATTAAATGCAAACTAGTACAGTGGACGTGGGACAAAAGGTGAATGTGAGTGCTCAGATGTATGTCAGGAATTCACGAAACAAAATAACTAAGTATTCAAACGATATCGCCAGAATTTCTCATGAAATCACTGTATCAGGTGGTCAGATATTTTGATTCGTTTACTGATCTTCTGGGATGTAGACAAAATCTGTCTACACCCAGTAGCTAAATCTCTTGTGTTCTACTGACCTAGAGTACCTTTGGAAGACCTCATTGAAAATAATTTAAAAAATCAAATTGGTCAAAGCATCCGGGAATGAAAGGATTTTCAGGCGTGTTCCGCGTGCTTCGAAAAGCAAATAAAATCGAAGGAATAAGAAAAAAAAATGCGGCGAAGCAGGCGGGTAAAGAACAAACACCAAAGAAAAGTAGGAGAGCGACGGAAAGGCAATCAGATAAAGCAAGGGAGGGCGAAGGAAGGAAACACAATGAATGAGCAAATAAGGTACGAGCGGATTATACGATAGGGGGGATTTGAAAAGCGCAGTGCTATTCAGCCAATCATCGTGATGTGCAGTAAACCATGAAATACAGATGCACTGGCTTCCAAAGAGGCCAAACACGCAAGTGTGTGCAAGGCAAACGAGAGAAG